GCGTTCCCTGCAAGCCCGTGGCGATGGGCAGACCCTGCGAATAAATATTAAAAAATGTAGGCGGATGCGATAATACTGATGCCCTAGCAGGTCTCCGTGCTAGTTGCATAAGACGTCACGTATTTCTTTCCATCCCTGCGTCGTTTGCTTTCCCAAGCAGGAGAGCTGCCAGCAGCGCTGGTGACGTATGGGCAGCGACAAAAAACTTGTCATTGAAAAAATGGTATTTTCTGCTCTCGGTGCCTGGCAGCCACCGTGGCTCCAAGCACAGAGCTGCTCGGCGGGGTGAGCCGAAATGCCTTCATGGAGCGGAGGGAGGGGGACGCGGTCCAGGTCCCTGCGGTGACTCAGCACCCACTGCCTGCCCCGTTTCGGAGGCAGGTTTCCAACCGGGGAGCGTGGCTGGGCTGGCACCCCCGACCTGCCCCACTTTCCTGCCAGGCATCCTCTGCAGATCGTTTCGGATGCCTGCGAGGTTTCCTCCGCACGCCCCGGCCCCACGCTCCCGTGGGGGGATCCATGCAGGCTGCGTCAGGTTCCCCCGTTCGATCGGATGAACTCTCTCCAGAAATGGTGTATCTTGCAAAAAAACCTTCCTGCAGCCCCGGAATTCAGGCCGCGGGCAGGTGCGCCTCTCTGCCCGCTTTGACCTCCCCTGCCGTCTGGCAAACCAGAGCCTGCCTCCAAATGCAGGGTCCTGTGGCTGTTTTTAGAGAGGACTCATACTTCGGGAGGGCTAAAATGTGCTATCCTCACCAGAAGTCTTGCAAAAATTGATTGCCAAATTGTTCGTTTCTGGTGACGAATGCTATTTCAGCTGCTGGGGGAAGAGAGCAGAAGAGGTGTCGATCGGGTCCTGGTCCAGGAGGAAAGAGGCCGGACCTCTTCTGGTGGCAGCACCAGGACTTGTCACACGCCGTGGCAAAGAATTTTCCAAACGGTTCCTTTGTGTCTCTGAGTGGCTAAAAGAAAATTGGAGGCAAACTGTAACATAGGAGGCAACTGAATTTATTGCATCTCTCCTTGAAGTGACATCTGCTTTCCCCCAGCTGCAATAAAAATATAAGCA